AGCCCGGTGCTGTCCACCTTTGAAGCCAGGACCGCTTTGAGCTTGGCTATTTCTTACACGTAGCGTGTTCTTGTGCCTGGTGATGCACGTTGCATCACATGACAAGTCATGGCGCATGAACTGACGTGTCAGGAACAAGCAGATGTACTTGGACTTGTGGAACAGCCGAGACGGGTCAAATGCCAGCAGCGACCACTCCTGTGTCTTTGACTTGACTCAGAACCCGAGTTTCATCGCGGTCATGTCCAAGAACGGATCTCTGCCCACCATGCGCCGCAACTCCAAGTTCTGGTTGCCAGCCAAGCGCCGGTTCATTGTGCCATGGGAGCTTGCGCTTATGTTTGGCTACCCTGTCTGCCAAGAGACTGCAGACTCAGCCGGGGTCCAGCTCGACAAATGTCTGGCGGTTTACAAGTCAGGCACTCTGGGCAATGCAATGTGTTTGCCAGCAATTGGTCTAGTTGTGTTGGCCACGTTGAGTTCTGCAAAAATGCGGTCTCAATGACACGTCGAAGAACTCCATCACTAATTAGGTCCCGGGTCCTGACCTGCACGGTCTGTGGCCTGACCCACAGCATCTGGGAAGCACAAAAGCAATTGTCGGCAGAAACACAGCTGGGTTCGTGAGGGTTCGTGGGGGTTCGTGGGGGTTCGTGGGGGTTCGTGGTTCGTGGTGGTTCGTGGTGGTTCGTGGGGGTTGCGTGCCGAAATCCCAGGCCCCCAAACGTTCGTGCATTCCGGCTTTCGGGTTCGAACCGAGGTTCGTGCTAACCCCTTCGTGAAGGGTTCGTGGTGGCTGCTTCCTTTAACGTAGCACAGCAAACTTGGTTCGCAGAAGGTTCGCGGCAGGGTTCGTGCTAACCCTGGCTCGGGTTCGTGCTGTGTCCCCCGAGGGTTCGGGGCAGGGTTCGTGCTATCTAAGCTTGGTTTGTGTTTAATAGAACGGACAGATGTTGCCTGTTGAGAGGATCAGCCAAGGTCAACTTTTGGGAAACCTCTTGCACTTTGTTTGAGGACACTTCCTACACTTCCCTTGGCAAATACTTGGCAAAAGCTGTTGCTTCCATCGTGCACAGTGCTTATTACAGAGTGTAGCCGACTGCTTGCTGAAGCTTGGGCAGGTTCGAGTGATTGTCATCATATCAGGCTAGTCCCATTGCGTTTTCGCAGTGCTTGGTCTGACGCCGCGCATTCTTGGCTAGAGGTGCGGGTGGTCTTGCGTTTGTAGCACAAAGGCTTAGAGGTCTGTTCTTCGAGTTGGTCTCAATAATGTCGGCCTTGATGAAGTCGGTCATTGCCATGGTCGATTTTGTCGCACTGGTCATGGACTATGTACTGTAGTCACATTTGCAGTCTCTACATATGCAACGAAGAGAACCCTGCTCATCAGCGTTCATGTAAGGCAAGATGAAACCCAAGTAGCAGGACAAGCAGGCATGGCCAAGACAAGGCTACGTGAGCAGAGAGCCACCACGCAGTTCAGAAACAAGTGTCCTTTAATTAATCAGCAAGGAAAGTTGGCACGCGACTGTTTGGGAAAGACCCTGCAGGGCTTGCCCTACAGCCAGGGAAGTCAAAGTGTTCTTGTGAGGGTTCTGCGCACGGCCGGCGCATCCTTTTGGCCCAGCGCGCCCCATTTCAAGCACCCATGGATTCATAACAACATCGGACACTACACAGAACCATAAAGCCAAACAAGGAAAGACACTCACCCACTGTTGTCGGCTTTTCCAGGTTAGTCAGCTTGGGGAAAGAGATTGCCATGCCCCGTTTGCGTTCCAAATACGCTGCTGCCTTGGGATTGGATGGTCCTGACGGTCCGACAGGGCCAGCCAGAAGGAAACAGCTCAGCAAGGTCTATGAGCGGAACAGAAAGGAGAAGCTGGGTCAGGTCAGCCGCCAGAGCAAGTATGAGAACCTGCCAGAGGTCCAAGCGGTCAAGCACAAGCCCCATGAACGGAAGCAGGTGTTAGCAAAGTTGTACAGGCAAGCCGGCAAAGTCGGGAAGTCTAAGCATCCACTGCCAGTCAGTGACAAGCCTGAAGCAGCACCAATGAGAGCGGTCATTGCAATCGATGGTCCGGTCATTGGCGACGCAGCCGAACATGTGGGATTGCAGCCGCCCTGCGGTCTGATCATTGCTGGCCAGGCCGATGGTGAAGCGTTGCAGCCGGCCATGCTGCCTGCCTCAATTGAGGAAGACCAGGTGGCCATGTTCTGCCACTGCAGTGCTGAGATGGAGCATCTGAAGCAGCAGATACTTGACCTGGAAGCAAAGAACGTCAGCTTGAAAAAGGACATGGTCTTTCAGGGCCGTGTTTTGCGGTGGCATCAGAATGTCAGAGACTGGGTCTCCAGTGTGGCCTGCCAGGCCATGTCCCAAAGGTCCGTCAATGTGCCACCTTGGCTAGTGTTGCAGGGCCAGCGGCTGGACGATGATCAGACGGAACCTGAATCTGACATGGAAAGGTCACCATGCTAGTCTCTCAAAAAAGGGGCACAATGAAGTTTCGGGGTCACTTAGATGCGAGGCACTGTCAGCGCCGCATCTGGTCTGGGTTTATGCAAGCCAGCAAACGCAGGCCTGCAACACAATGGGCAGAGGAAAAAGCTGCGGCACGAGTTTGCTGCCATATGCCCACACCAACGCTTGGTTTAATCTTGTTCACACAGCCTGTGCCCAGGGGGTCAATTGTGCTGGGTGGGGCCCATCAATCTGGCCTTTACAAGCTGTTCATATTTGAAGACCCACTTGGTGCCACCCTTGCAGCATAGCCCGGGAATGCGCTGAGTATGCTTGTGTCTTATAACATGCCAGTGTTTTCTTAAAGCTCAGCCGATCCGAGCATCATTGCGAGACTAACCACGTTGATGCAAAAGGCCGCTGCCACAGATGATGTTTAGCCTTAAGCCCATCACACATCCCACGTTTAAAAGTCGGCCAACACACACAAGCACAACAAGCCCACACAGCAGCTAGCAGTAGGTTGTGAACTCTGAACGCGTGCGGCTTTTCCGCTCCCACCAGCGTTCCAGTGGCACGAGCCATTTCAGTGGCACTTGGTTTTATTGTTGTTGGCCACTCTGCCCGGAGAACTGGCCAAATTCCAGCTAGCAAAAATAGTTGCTACTGTCACAAGTGGTCTGAGCAATGTTGTTCTTTGCTTGACAAGCAGGGTCAGGTAGCGGAGTGCGGCTTGAACAATTTTGGCAATGTTGGCCTTGCCTAGTTGGACTGGCCTTGCTGGACTTGCTTTGTGAGTGCTTGGCCATGTTGAACTTGCCTTTTTCTTGCATTTGGTGGTAAGTAAGCACACAGGTCCACAGTCGCCCTTCGCATGTATTCATTCCTGTGTTTGAAACTGGTTTTCGAGCATACTTGGCACTATGTTTTTGAACATTCACAGGTGCAAGTTTGGAAAGTGTTTGGACTTCCACCAGGTGAGCTGAGGATTCCGCGGTACAAATCAGATGGGCCCAGTACAACACTACAGTTGTTTCTATTAATTAGCTGAGATCCTTTCCACGAACCTTGGAGTGCTGAATTGTTTTTCCCGCAGGCTGGGGTCAAATGCTGCATTCTCACTAGACACTCACCGCGCCAGCATGGACGAGTTTGTTAGGACTATCATGGTAATGGTGGTCTTCTACACGGGCGCGGTCGTGCTGGTCACGGTGTGTGGCACTTGTTGGTGGGTCAAGCGCGCAGAAGCAAAGGTCTCTCGTGAGCAGGACATGACCGCCTGCGACTTCGGGACACCGGTTGTGTATGTCTTGGATGGACGTGCAAAATACCATCATAGGCGCTGTCACCATGTGAAGAATCAGCACATGAAGGCCATTGCCAAAATGGCATGCGCTAATTGTGCTTGGTTGTGGTCATTTCCTAAGCACGGCTAATTTGTCGGTCTTGGTGCACGGTGATTAGCACCAACTGCAGGGCTGAGTTCTTTTGACTGCCACGGGCTTCCTTCTTCAAATCATTGTGCAGTAATGTGCGCCCAGCCTGTCCGCGCGCCCTTGACGACTTTTTTGCTACTGATGTCCACTGCTGTCACGGAGCCAAAGCCCTTCAACCCTTCAATGCGGTTCACATCTAACAAACATTGGTAAAGAATATTTTTTCATAGTGGCAGGGGCGCAGCGCTCTAAGGTCATGAAAGAAACAGGCGCGGGAACTCATTCCAACTTGCGGGGTTCTGATCCATACATAGGGGTGATAGGCCTCAGTTGGGGAAAAAAGTGCTGCCTGTATTCTGTACAGTAGCTTTACACATGGTTTGGATTCCGGACTGTGATTGGGGCACTGTTCATGAATG